GATATTTTTGTCCCATAATATTGGGTTGAGGGCTGCTATGAGTCTCCTTCCTCTGTTTCAATTTCATACATCCCTTGGTTCCCTATCATCGCTTCTAGATATTCAATCTTTTCTGTCCTCTTTATTACCTCTCCCATTTCCATTATCAGTGCATCATTAGTATTTCCTAAATTTCAGTCTTATCTAAATTTAATGTTAATCCCAAGATTTCATATTCTTCTTTTACTTTTCTCATCATAAATTCCAGGTCTGCTTCTGTTTGTGCTATTATCACTTGATCATCAGCGAATTGTAGTGTATACATTGTCGTATCTTCGTTCAATGGTGTGCCCATTCCCTTACACCTTTTTAATACTTCAATTATCTTTAAGGAGTAGTAAATAATGTTGAATCCCACTTGGTTTAGTTGTCAGAAGGGAAGGGGTATTTTTATGTTTGCTGTAACAACCCTTACAACTTGGGAACTGGTGTGAGTTCTTCTTCTTCTTCTTCTGTGGCTCTCCGGTCCGTATTCGGTCCATGGCCTCCTCAATTCTCCTCTCCCATTCGGTGCTCTGTTAGGTCCGTCTGTCCGAGGCTCCGATCGAGGTTTCGAAACATCTTCCTTTTTACGGCTCAAGGTTGTTAGCCTTGCGACCAACCCCCAACCTGGAGGACCAGGGTACCTGTCTTAGTCTGACCTCTCCCCCTCGACCAATCTGGCTAGGGATGCCCTACCAGTAGCTCTTGGTACTCAAGCCCCACGACCATGACAAGGTGCAGGTACCATTAAGTAGGGGAGAAACAAACTGAACACTTCATTTCATCAGTCTCCAAGAGATGTCAGAAGTTTACAGTCCTTTAGCTGAATATAAAATTTGCTGACAGAAAATGGAAAAAATATTGATATGTTTATTCTGAAGATGGTGGTATATTCAAAACGGTTAAGGGGGTCTTGTTTAATTGAGTAAAAAATGATACCAAATGAAGATGTAGAATCACCCTGATATGATGCTTGTCTGCGTAGCGGCTGCTAGACCAAGGCAAGTACGAATTTGTGCTGGACCGAGCGTGCCTGCAGTTTGAGCCAGATCAGCCAATTTACCAGGACATAACGGCTACAACATACGAAGCAGTTGATACAGCCAGACACTACAGTTCGTTGCGGTCCACGCGGCACTTCGGTCCATTTGCTTTTCACTTGGCATGGAACAGATGCATTGACAATTTCCTGCTCGACTTGATCCAGACAGACAGGTACAGTTTTGGGCTGCGTGCATGAACATATTTTGGGATCTAAACATTCGGGTAGACACGCACGCGCGCACATTATGTTCCTAATATTGTTTGTTTAAATTGATATCACAGACTTTATTGGCTGTGTCCAGCTGACTGTGCATCGCAGTAACATGAAGTCTGGCAAACAGTCCCATAGCACTGTGATACAGGTTAATGAAGAAAGTCGGTACTCTTCGTCTAAAATCACCGCCTTGCATCATGTTAAGCCTTTCTATCATATAACATGCAACATTTTTCTCATTAGCATGTAAGACTTCGGTCAGAAAATGTCCACCAAACAAATTATCCATGTGCCAGGTTGCACTGGATCCAGAATGGGGATGTACATGTCTTGTAAGCGGAATCTGAAAAATATTTATCAGTCAGAGCAGTGAAAGTTCTAGGCCAGTGGTCCCCAACGCGATGCCCGTGGGCACCCGCCAAGGCTTTTTTTGGGTGCCCGCGTTGTTACGGAAAGAGGTTATACTGATCAATGAAGGCCGTTCAACCACGGACATTATAAAATCAAAGCGCAGATCTCGACTTACTGACGCCCTTCTTGACGATTGTTTGCGAGCGACAACATCATCCTACACTCCCAAATTTGAAAAACTGGCTGATGAAATGCAGCGCCAAACATCACACGAACTTCCCACTCGAGTAATAATAATTGTACTTATAAAACTACGTACTTTTGATTGCGTGGTTTCTTGTATCATTAAACGTCGTGTTGTTTTGTGTATTATAATGTGTCCATTTCTTATTTGTCCAGAGAAAAGAAAATTTGGCTTTGTTAATTGGTTGGTGCCCGCCACGATCTCATAAATTCTCAAATGTGCCCGTAGGCACAAAAAGGTTGGGGACCACTGAACTAGATAGTCAATCTCTATGATTTTTCGAGCTGTTGTCTTTGGTGCAAAGTGTTTCCTCCTTCTGGGGACCACTGTTCTAGGCTAAATGTAGACGGATAACTAAAGTGACTGATGCGATCGATGGCAGTTCAGTTTTAGACACTTCTGCACATCTACTGTCATGTGCCATGTCGTCCTCAGTGGACTTGTGGTTAGCACGCTCACCACTGGACCCAAGGTTCGCGGGTTCAATCCCAGCCGAGGTCGTTGGATTTTTAAGGGTGATAAAAATCCGTAGCACAATTTCCTTCGGAGGGGAAATAAAGCCGACCGACCCATTTCGTAGATTTACGGCATGTAAAAGAACCTTACGAGCATGATACCAGATGTTTTGTAAGTGAAATTCAGCGGCCATTTCTCACCCAAGTCTCCTGATTACCTGCTAGATGGCTCTGGCAGTCAAATCAGGATTGAGTAGAAATTGTGCAGAGTCAGTGGACTGGTCACTCACTACTTCACGAACAAGACCAAGAAACCTCGGATAAGGAGGCGGCGAAAACCCACGACAGGATTGTAGAGCCTAGAAACAACAACAACTGTCGTGTGCGATAATGAGCCAGTCAGCTTTAGAGAGTTAGTTCAAGCATGAAGCAGATGCCATTTGTATCTCTCTCTGTTTCTGTGCCGCCCAACTTCGTTTACGTCTTTTACTTTTGAAGGTGTGACAGATTTCACAGTCACAACAGGACACAAATTATTATAACTTTCTGGCCAAGTTATTTTTCTGCACGAGTCCATTTTGGCCTGCTGATCTATGGTTTTTGAATTTTTTTTTCAATTATTCTCAGCATGTGTTTGGCAACTTTTTCCAGGCTTGATGAAACTGTAGCCCTCATCCAGTTGTACCACATAGTTAACCCTGAAGCAGAATCAGCGAGTGCCAAGTACAAACCTGGACTGGAGCATAAATTCATTCAGGTAATGTGATTTCTGTGATATAATTCAAGATTTGAGACTCAGATGTCAGTCTTTAAGATTTTGTCTGTGTAAGGCCATTGTCAGTACGCACATAGACTAGTCTGATGCCGTAACACTTGCGTCCCCGCTGCCGTAATATTACCGCATGGGATCGGATTAAAAACACGGCTTTAGTAATGTAACAGCATTTGAATTATAATTTTTTGATCTCATATCATAACAGCTGTTTACAGCGTGGTTTTATGGTGGTGGTATGGTGGTATGGCGTTTATTTTATAAGCCTTTGAAGCAATTGTGGAGCATAGAAGCTTTGACATAACGCCAGCTGGTGCTGGGAGGCTTCATAACCAGAAAACTCTCACCAGACAAGTATGTCGAGGATGAAACATTGGTAAAGTTCAGCTAGACTAAGATGGCTGTCTTCTGGGTTGTTGCGCTGTGTAGTCTGGTAGAAGTTTACCAACGTTTCAGAGGTCAGTGCTGCCTCCATCAGGGTGATGAATAAGTAAATTTTTTTAGTGGACAGGACGTCATTTACTATCATGCATTTATATCAGCTGCATGGTGTATGTTCCCCATTCACGCGAGTAATTTCTTTTGAATCTTCTGTTGCAGGCTTATGTGGAGTCAGACTCCAAAAAGAGGAGCGTGTTAGAGCTGGCCCTGCAGGCAAACGTAGAGCTACACAAACAAAGGGCAGAGACGGAGGCAGGGATCCGCAGAGCACACGGTCATGCTTAGAAACCAGTGATGGTGGGGAGACATGGTAATCGGAATCTTGTGAGATGTGGTTAAGAGTTTTGTAGTGTCTGCCATTTGAAGTGTTTTCACTCTGAAATTGTGACTGCTTCTCCTTCTGCCCTGAAACTTCTTTTTTGTATCAGTGCAGCTTCTGCAGTAAACAAATCACTGATTAAACTAACTTTTTGATTATCCCTGTAAATGTACTGGGAATGACCCGTTCTTCAAGTGCCTGAGCACTGCAGGTCCCAACTTTTCGTTGGCTTGATCTATAGATATTTGGTACGACTCCATGGACGAGGGATCGGCCCGTCGCAAGGCCTCTACCTGTACACAGGACAGCACGACACAGAAATCCATGGCTTGAGTGGGATTTGAACCCACGGTCCCAGCAACCAAGCAGCACAAGGCCCACGCCTCAGACCGCGCGGCCACCGCGGACGCCCCATAAATGTAAAGGGACTGAAAGCTATAGAAATAAGTTTATTGAAACAAATGTTTAATAATTCAACTCAAATAGTAGTACAGCACATATTTTGGTTTCAACAGATTTTATATAAATCTCTTTTTGTACAACATTTACAATGAAAATTCTTTCATGCAGTTTCTTTGGTGTTTGCTGAAAGCCGGCCGATGTCAAGATAGTTTCTTTCTGGCCTGGTAGGGGTGGCAGTGAACATCTCCATTTGAGTGACTTGAACCCATAATATGACTAGTTACGTTGTAATCTTTTGCAATATCTATACCCTGAAATAAAAAGAGTGTGTCTAAGTGGACAGTTTTATATTAAATTGCATAAAGAGTACTTTGTTTTTAGATGGAATGGGTCCGTAGCATTCATGACAAGAATAATTATCCTGAGTATAACAACCTGGAAAGCGTATTCTGTATCCGAACACACGTAACATCCTCGTGCATTTATTATATATTATTATTATTTAGTGTTCTGTCTGACGACAGGTCCATATGAACAGGATCCTTCCATCCTTTTCTCGGACTGGGACCTGTTCATATACGTTCTTGGCAGATGATCCAGAAGTGGTTTGCCATTGCCTTCTTCTGTGTGTGATTGGAGTAATTGTAGGGATGCCACGGAGAAACCGGGGAAGCCCCCGGAGGAAAACTCCGTGTTGCCTAGACCACGACCTTGCCCAACACAAGTTATAAATTCGGGCACCGCCGGGAATCGAACCCGAGACCCCAGGATTACAAGGCCAGCGTTCTAACCGCTAGACCACCGTGGCTGTTCTCGTGCATTTAGACGTAATAAATTCACCTTGTTTGATAGTTCCCACTTTGGCCACCAGATAGCAATACCTTACGTCTAACTCATTACTTTCCTCGTCCATAATTTTATCATCACTGCTCATAGGATATTAAAAGTATAATTTTGAGGTTCTGCAGAACAGCACAATGTCTACATCAAATTTCATCCAAATCCGTCCAGCGATTCTCGAGTTTAAACGACTGAACAGACATGACCAGTCCGTAATGCATTATGGCTATGCATTTCGGGAAAATAATGCATAAGAATTTTAGTCTCGGAGCTTTTCTTGTTTGGATAATAAAATTTCATCAAATGGAAACAAATATAAGAATAAACTGAGGAAGAATCTGTAGAACTGGGAAACTTAACGTAATGGATATAATCTGGAATTGGAAATGTTACAAAAGAATAGAACTGTTATGATGTTTGAACGTTTAACATCCGTGGGGAGCATTTTGTGACAGTGAAGAACTTTTGATGTTCTGCAGTAGAGCTGATACTCACTTGGCGAGGCACCATCCAATCAAGGAAGCGCAGCATCAGATGAGCGAGAGTGACAACAAGGAGGAAGGGAAGCACTCCACGTGCCATGTAACTGCGAAGCCGTGATCCTAGTGTCTTGGTCTTCTCACCAGCCACCTGATGATACACAGTCTCAGTGCGCTGCGCCACATTCATCCAGTTGTACAGTGACGCTACACGATGATGGCACTCCCATGGAGGCACTACATTACCTGAATTCAGGTTGGCAAGCGCCGTCTCTAAACCCAGCAACAGAGCTGTTGACAGTCAAGGGATCAAACAAATTTATAATTGACGACATTAACTGTTGTTGTGAGCGAGGAACTGCTTTATGGGACAAATTACTGAGGTTTTTATGCATCAAATGAATGAATAGATAGTTCCTGGATCTCCCAAGTGGAGCATAGGGCCTCCTTTTAGAGGTTTCATAGTCTTTAAAGCGTGCATTTAAGAGTAGTGAGTGACTAGTCCACTGACTGCACAATTTCTACTCACTCCTGATTTGACTGTCAGAGCCATCTAGCAGTGAATCAGGAGAGACTTGGGTGAGAAATGGCTGCTGAATTTTGTTTATGAAACATCTCGTATCATGCTCGCAAGGTTCTTTTACATGCCGTAAATCTACGACACGGAAGTTGTGCTACGGATTTTTATCACCCTTAAATATCCACTGATCTCGGCCGGGATTGAACCTGCGAACCTTGAGTCCAGTGGTGAGCACGCTAAAAACTAGTCCACCCAGGGCGACAAATGAATGAATAATATGGAGGTATTTTCTGTCCATGCCAGTCATCTCCAAAAGCATTCAAAATATTTTTTTCAATTTTTCCACGTTTGTGGTCAGTGCATAATAAACGACGCAAGTAGCCTGAACTGCTTCTGTCGTAATATTATCATGTCCATTGTGTCCTGTGGGAAAAGCACATCTTGTCTGATGACATTCAACTGGTAAACAGTAACAATACTGACAATAAACGAATGTCAAAGCAGCAAGGAATTCACCGGGAAAATATGTGTGCTTCAAACGGGAAGTTTATTTTTATATTTATGGATGAAGGATTTGGTGATAATTACTTTATCGTCATTGAGATCCTAGTAAGTTTCAGTCTAATTTTTGTGCCACTTACATGGAACATTTGGCTCGGTGAGATAGATCAACTCTGATGGCAGAACCTCAGGGATGCCCCCTACCCTGGTACTGACTACTTGCAATCTGCAATGCAACACAACACATTAGGTCGCATCCACTCGTTTCACAAGAAGAGGACTGCAAGGTTTGCCAACTGATACTGACCCACACGCTGCAGCCTCTACTATGGCCATGCAGTATGCCTCTGTGAGAGACGTGTTCAGGAAGATGTGTCCGCGCGTAAGAACACCGCGCACCTGCGAGTGCTCCAGGCTCCCAAGAAGAGTGACACGATCCTGCAATCCACCGCGCTCTCGCACTTCTTCCAGGAGCCAACGCTTTGGGCCATCTCCACCAATAAGGAACTGCAGCTGTGGAAACGCATCCTCGTGTAACAGGTGGGGCTACTACCCTAGTTATGAAATATTTGTAGCTTGCTGGTATTACAAGCAAAAGAGCACGCTTTTACGCCAATCCTTGCCTCTAAAACCGAATGAGTTCAATCAACCATACATACAGAATTTATGTGTCCTGAGTGTTATTTTTAAGATAAGTTTTTAGTTTTCTGAATTTTCGAGCAAAATGAATTGTTTTAGAAGACTGGACTCTAAGAATACCATTACAGCGCATTCCCCCCTTTAATGATTTTGTCTCCTTGTATGAAGATTTTGCTGTATACAAAAAGGGCAGACCCTGTATGGCCGTCTGAAATCCAATTATTTCATTACAACACATGTAGCCATACTGTTGTGCCACTATTAACGTATCGTTTTAAGTAACGTTTCAGACCGGTGATACAAAATGAGTGCTGGTCCGAGTCTCGGGGAAAGAAATTTCTCACGAGATTTTCTTCCAGTGTATGGGACCGGTGCCAACCCAGCATCCTGAGGAAATTGGGGAGCTACAATGAGTAGTGTAATCCGGTCAGGAAAACTAGCAATGTCTGGGGGTTCGTCGTGCTGACCACACGTCACCCTATATCTGGTTGGATGATCGTTCACCTCTCCTTAGGCATGCGAACGTGAAGCCAGCTAGTCGGCTTTGGCTCTCAGAGGGCTGTTATGCCACGGATTATTATTATTTAAGTAACGTATTTTCAGAATAGTGATGTGTCCTTTTGTTTGAGTATGTGCAATATGCCTACCTGTGGGTATCGTGGACAGATCTCAGCAATGACTTGAGCCATCAGATCAACTCCTTTCCTATAGACCAGTCGACTTATCACCACAACTGTGACTGCAACCGAAAGTACAACAGTGTCAGGACACAGCCAGCACATTTTTTATACATGGCACAGCAAAGTAATTGACTACTGACTGGATAGCCAGGGTTCAATGCCCATTACGAGTTGGATTTTTCCCTTTGTCACCGTCCCTACTACGCCATTTGGGCTTAACCAGAGCCAATGTACTGAACTCTTTCTGTGGAGTTATGGAAATCAATTTAATATCAGCTAGCTCAGATGGCTTCTTATCTCGGAGACGTGGGTTCAATCCAGACACTTCAGGTTAGATTTACGGTGGGTGAAATGGCACTGGAATGGGTTTCTCTGCGACTTTTTCAGTTTTACCCCGCTAATCGTCGTTCTGCCATTGCTCCATACTCGTCTATTACTGTTCCACGTAGTGTGTGATGGCTCTGACCAAGCAGCACATTACCATACCCTTGGTCCTAAATGAGGGACTTCACTTACTGGGATTGAAGCGAGAGAGTTAAACTCCATTCTTACATCACTTTAATGCAGATGTTATGAATGTGTGGAGCTTTACCTCTCCTTGCTCTATGCACCTTTATGGCACAATTATTAGGCAAATGGACAGCTTCACCTTTACCATGTAATAGTAGTAGTTCCTGCCTCCTAAGTGGAGCATAGGGCCTGCTTTCGGAGGTTTCATAGTCTTTAAAGCGTGCATTTACGAGTAGTGAGTGACTAGCCCACTGACTCTGCACAGTTTCTACTCACTCCTGATTTGACTGTCAGAGCCATCTAGCAGTAAATCAGGAGAGACTTGGGTGAGAAATGGCCGCTGAATTTTGCTTACGAAATATCTCGTATCATGCTCGCAAGGTTCTTTTACATGCTGTAAATCTACAAAATGGGACCACCGGCTTTACTTCCCCTCTAAAGGAAGTTGTGCTACGGATTTTTATCACCCTTAAAAATCCATCGATCTTGGCCGGGATTGAACTCGCGAACCTTGGGTCCAGTGGCGAGCACGCCAACCACTAGTCCACCAAGGGCGACCTTTACCATGTCTGTGCCACTATTTTGTTTGTAAGTATCAAGTTTATCATTTATGTATTTTATCTTCCTTTTAGTTCTCAGAAATGATCCCTGAAAGTACAGGAAATTAATCATTGCACCTTGAAATACACTGTTTCACCCGACAAGACAAAATTTATATTCACAAGTGTCTGTCACTGCCTACCAAACGTCAAGGAATTAGTTCTGTCTGTTATTGTCCTGACGTAAAAGTGTGTATATTCCGTTGTAACTCTGTGGTATCCGACAGTAAATCAACCCACAGACCATCCATACCGGGCGACAAGTACTCACTTGTGTCTGTGCTTCGTCTGCTGGGGTCAGGGGTAAACGCAGCTGTGTCAACTGCATTGGGAATGACTGACACACGATCACAGTGGACCCTGGCTCTCAACACAGTATTTTCCTTCCTGTGCGGACAGAGAATGTCAGGGACAGCAAAACACAGTGTTCACTGAATGTACAATCTAAATTTTTATAGATAACGACAAACGAAACTCTAAATTCATCGGCGTCTCTAGCTTTGAGGCAAATATTTTATTTTTTGATGAGTCATACTCAATATTTTAAAAGAATTTATATAGATCATGGCTCCTAATTGTTTACCTTTCAGTATTATGGCACTTGAAGAATGTTTTTAGGCAACTGTGCAATTGCAGTTGTTAAAACATCACAGCTGAGTGGTTAGCATTCCCGCTTCATATTCGGGTGGTCCCGGGTACAAATCTTGGCCTGAAGGCCGCCTATTATGATTGAGGCATTTGTGGTTTTCCTCTGTCCCTCCAGGCAAATTCTGGGATATCTATAGTTATGCCATGATCACTTACATATCCTTTCGTCATTATTCGTTAATCATCGTGTCATTCGACAGTAAATACGCTGAGCTGTTGACAGCATCACCAAATAAACCACGCCTACAATACAATAACTATTCTATATTGCTTCATTTAGGTCTTACACACAAATTCAGTTCCTGCTGTGTATTTAAAACACGTGATAATAGCCTTCAACCCAAAAATGTTTGGTGCAAATGATTTTGCATATCTTTTACTGTGTGACTAAAACAACTACCCCATTCAAGTACAGGAAGAACAGTAACATTTTCAGATACGTCTTTGTCACGTATCGTGTGCATCGCATTCTTACCAGTATCTGAGAGGTATACATTTTAAAAGCATCTTCATAATAACTTTCTACGATCTGGCGAAAAATAAGTTTGGCTCGATACATATAGTTATGAAAATTGTTTTGATGAAAAATCCATACACTTTAAAAAAGGAACATGCTGATGCTAACAAAATATGCCGCGAGGAGCCTAAAAATCCCATCATTTTTATACAGCATGTTAAACAACTTCTTGCTTATTACTCACCCTGTGTGTGACACACAAATGCAGTGGTTGCAGTCTGCTAGTGATATCTCTAGGAGTTTGTTTGTGATAATAGCAGAGGCATCAGCAAAACCAAACAGAGAATGATCTGTAAACACCGTCTGAAAAATTACGCAGGAGAACACAGTTATGGTCCCTTCTTGTCAGTGAAGTGGGTGGTTATCGGCTGGACAGCTAGGGTTCATCCAAACTGGCTCTGCCTCTAGTTAGTTCTGAGATTAAGAACGCGTCTTCACAGTGTGATTCTAAGACAATGTAGCAGATTCAAGACTTGTTTCCTAACCACGGCTGACAGCATATTGTGTCTGCTTGAGATTTGTGAAGTATCAGGGAATTTGTGTAACAATGAATCATGACTGAACTATTTTATTTTGAATGAATCATATTTTACTGGAAAGAGCCTTAGAGATATTTGCTTATTTTAGTATACTTTGTAAAAAAAGATACATGGAGGTGGATTGTAAAAAAATTCCAGGGCAGAATCATACAAGAGTTGCTAACAAATAATAGAAAAATATATCCCAATTAAGGTACTGGTGCTGTCCATGTCCTGCCCCACCCAAAAACAAAGTGATTTATGATAGAATTAACAGCACAATAAATACAGTAAATTATTGTCATTATTCATCCTGACACTTTTATCATCTGTATGGTTGTTGATCTTTTATAGTCTGAAGGAACCTGTGAATTTGTGAGACAACAAAGGTATTAGTAAAATAAATGATATTGAGCAAATAAAGAATCTCTAATTGGCATACTAAACCATTTACTTCAAAACTACATTTTATAACTGACAACTGCTGGAAGGAAGCTACCTTCAGCTACTTAGCAAAAAATTCAAATCTGAATAACAGTTTGGCACAGAACACCTTACCTTTAAATCCATTAATCTTCCAATAACCATTGCTTCATGGGCCAGTGCTGAAAATGCTGAATGGCCATGTATAATTGTTATTCTCTCCCTAATAAAAATGTAGCGAATCAATGGAAGGGAGCACACCATCGTTGGAAGCACGCACTGATTATAAAACACTCTCACTGGAAGATAAAACACCTAAAAAAATGAAACCAAGCCACTATAATTTTTGCAGGATTTTTAAGAATGTACATATTTATGAGACTCTGCTCCAATGTATAGTCCATACCTTTAAGCCGTTTGTCATATATCGAACACCAACTCTTTCTCCATAGGAATGTGTCAGAACAATCACTTTGTGCCCACGACTGATAAGACACTGGGATAAATTAAATATGTGCTCTTCAACTCCACCCATGTTAGGATAGAAGAAATCGGAGACCATGCTGAAAATAAATGTTTGTTGAGATACCCAAATGACAACATACCATAACACACAAGCTCCACTTTATAGCATCGTGACTTACCAAACTCTATGTAACATTGCAAAGACAAGTACAAGTAAGTCATCTCGATCTGCAGCGTCAATTTGTGTTGCAGGAGACACAACTCGGGCAACATAACCTCATTATCAATATCTTCCACTTATTACAACATTAACGATGACGACGGCATCACTTCACGTGATTCATAATAGTAGTTAAGTCAGAGTTCCTCTTAAAGAATGTCATGAATGTGCGAAACAGCACTTATAATTTAAAATGAGATACAGCTACACCTGCCGTTCGCAACTGATTGTTTAGCAATAATCCACTGCAGCCAATGAGATACTTTTCCGTTACGGAAGTGCAGAAAAATAAAAATTATCACTGTAAAATGAAAAACAGTTAATAATGAATTTGACATGCAATTTAAGTCACAACATCCTTGTTTAGGAATTTTGGATTTGGTCACGTAATTTGTTTGTTGTTAACTTTACTTTGATTTCGACAGAGTATGAGAAGCCATGCAATTGGAATTGCTGTTGAATCGTTTGTAGATGGCAGAACAAGAGACGCTGATGCTACTGTCAAATGTCAACAGAGCTTATGAAGCTCTTCGGCGCAGAGTGATGGCAGTCATCTGTTAATAAGTGTGTTTTTGTCCAAAGGTGCTGTGGATGAATGATTATAAGGAAGTGATACACTCCTAACGTAATCATGATTGTGAATTGGTGATATAAATGTAGCTTCGACCCTGTCCAGGTTAAGTACGTATTCCAGCAAAAGGTTGGTATAAAATGTGTGGGTAAAGTCCAAGGAAAATTCATAACCAAATGCTTTGAAGAAATTCATGAGCATTTTTCCTCATGTTGTGACATCATGCATTAATGAGAAAAGGTGTTTGTTACAGAGAACCTCCAGCAATGTTGGAAGTTGGTGTGCGTGTGGTAAGAGGGCCAGATTGGAAGTGGGGTCAGCAGGATGATGGAGAGGGTCATGTTGGTACTGTGGTTGAAATCGGAAAGCCTGGAAGTTCTACATCTCCTGACAAAACTGTAGTTGTCCAATGGGATTCTGGTTCTCGGACCAACTATCGTGTTGGCTACCAAGGAGCACATGATTTGCGGGTCATGGACAATGCTCCAGCAGGTTAGTATTCTGAAAGCCATGCTTTTTACAAAGTTATGACTGAGTATTATCATGCTACCTATTACGTGTTGAATAACATGAAAACAAGAAATTGAAGGTTGTAGCAAGCTGCCTAATTGTCTTATTATAAAAGCCAGGTTTTCAGGTTGTCACATATGTATAGCTGTGGTGACTTTATGCCTGTATTGGATATTGGCACTTATTTCTGAAATTGTTAATCATTGCATCTTATTTATTCATATGTGATATGTGGTGTTTGATAGGTGGAATAAATTGGTAATATCCTTCTCTGTTGAAGATGTAGTGTAGTATGGATTCTGTAAAACACTGGCAAACCACTTGTCATCATCTTTTTCCTTTAAGGTGTCTTCCACCTTCATGCATTTATTCCACATTTACCAGGATCTTCCTGAGTCGTGTTATGGTAGTGTAATATCAGTTTTGTATTTCTTGCCATTTGATGCCTAATTTCTGGGATGGTGCCTTTGGTAAGTTTTGGATCTCCTGGACCATATTTTTGAAACCTGTTATGAAGGTTGTGCCATTGAGGATGCTGAAAATCTACATATTTTTAATTTCTGCCATTAGAGATTCAAACATGGTAACTGTCTGTACACTTTTGAGGTGCAAAACAGTGGTGAAGTTACTGACATTGAGGAGACAAGTCTGTTTTTTCAAAACGTTGATATCTACATGCAAGTCCACATGGCACTGCAGCCCAGAAGAACATTGAATGCTGTTTTTATTCTGTTTAGTATTTTAAAAAGTAGTCCCGCACCGTAGCCGCGCGGTCTGAGGCATAATGCTTCATTCTGGCGATACGGAATGCGCGCTGGTTCAAGTCTGAGGGGAGAAGACATTTTCTCATGAGATTTTCTACCGGTGTATGGGACAGGTGCCAACCCAGCACCGTGAGGAAATTGGGGAGCTACAATGGGTAGCGTAATTCAGACATGAAAACTAGCAATGGCTGGGGGTTCGTCGTGCTGACCACACGTCATCCTATAATCTGGTTGGATGATCGTTCACCTCTGCTTAGGCATGTGAACGTGAGGCCAAGCTAGTCGGCTTTGGCTCTCTGGAGCTGTTACGCCACAGATTTTTAATTTTAAAAAGTTCTTATTATTAGCGTGTACTTGCCCAAATGCCATTCATACACACTCACTCATGTTCACACATAAATGTGCACATACACAGTTTTTTTATTAAAGTAGAGAGAGAACTTATTTATCATTTGCAGTATACACAATGCATTTGAACAGAAGGTTTTCATCCACAACCATTACAGCTTCGTAGCTGGCTCCTGACAATCTTCTTCTTTATTACGCCGCCTCCTTTACTGGAGGTTGGCGACATATTATGAACAGGATCCTTCCATCCTTTTCTCGGACTCGGACCTGTTCATATATGTTTTTTAGTCAGGTGGTACAGAAGTAGTTAGCCGTTGCCTTCTTCTGTGTGTATGGAGTAATTGTTGGGATGCCACGGAGAAATCGGGGAAGCCCCGGAGGAAACTCCGTGTCGCCTAGACCACGGTCTTGCCCAACATAAGTTATAAATTCGGGCACCGCCGGGAATCGAACCCGAGACCCCAGGATTACAAGGCCAGCGTCTCCTAACAATATGAAAATCACATTTATTCATTTTCTGACAGAATGTTAATGCAGTGTTAATGCTGTTGTGAACAATGCAACTTGACTTTTCGATGAATGCTAATACTGCTTAGGAAATGCCCACTTCAGAGTTGAAATTTGTGTTACCAGGTGTGAAACACCCCAATATTATCTGTGATGGGTGTAAGAAGCATGGCATTGCGGGGATACGCTGGAAGTGTGCGCGCTGCTATGACTATGATTTGTGTACACACTGCTACATGTCTGACAAGCATGACCTACTGCATGTATTTCAGAGATTTGAGACTGCTTCATCAATTGGGTAAGTTCAATGGTTTATGCAGTTTTCCATAGATGAGAAGCACTTGGAAACTATCAGTTTTGTGCTATTTATAGCTGTGAAACTTTGGACTAGTGTTCTGAGTTGTGACACCCAGGGCTGTGGAGTCGGTACTAAAACCTCCGACTCCGATTCTGACTACTTCATGAAAGCTCAATTTGTATTAATAATGGTAAACCTACTAAAATGGCAAATGTCACCATAAGAGATTTCATCACCACCACGTGAAGCATCAGCCTACTTTTTAGACTTATAACCTATATTTAAATATACGTCTAATAGTTATTGCAGAAATTGGTTGATTTGTAGACAGTTTGTATTCCTAAGGTAGCGGAGCCGAAGTTACAAAGCATTGTTCCCACACCATGTGGCCGCTGGCGGCTCACACAGCAGTGAAAGTGTTGAAATGGTATTTTCTTAAGATTTGATATCGGAGTCGGTACATTTTTACTGACTCTGACTCCACCTAAAATTGCTTCTGACTCCACAGCTCTGGTGACACCATATGGTCCTATATGTGGTCACATCTTGATACTAAGGGATTCTGATCACTGAATTTCATGCAATGTTGCCTGCTTGTAGAGATAGAGTACTGTCTATGAGATAAGAGTGTCACCCTCAGTGGACTGGTGGTTAGTGTGCTCTCCACTGGACCCATGGTTTGCGGGTTCAAACCCGGCCGAGGTCGGTGGATTTTTAAGGGTTATAAAATGCGTAGCGCATCTTATTTTGAAGGGGAAGTAAAGCCAGCAGTATCATGTCATAGATTTAAGGCATGTAAAATAACCTTATGAGCATGAATGACATGTTTTGTAAGCGAAATTCAGTGGCCATTTCTCACCCAAGTCTCTTGGTTCACTGCTAGATGGCTCTAGCAGATAAGAATCAGGATTGAGTAGAAATTGTGCAGAGGCAGTGGGCTGGCCACTCACTACTCACAAATGAACACTTAAAAGACTGAGATACCTCAAAAAGGAGGCGACAAAGACCCACACTGGGTTGTAGAGCCACAGGAAGAAGAAGAAAAGAAGAAAATATTAGATAAGGTTTTTTTTGTGGTGACAATTTGAATTGCATTACATACAAGACTTCTTCTTTCTCATCTCGCATTGTGCCTTTATAGCGTCAGGGTTGATTGCTCAGTCCACCTCCTCCATTCTCCTGGCGGACAGCTTCTCCATGGAAGCTGTCCGCCCGAACTATCTTTGTTTCTCTGAATCGTATTAAAAACCAAGTGTGGGTGATTGGCCCAACGAGTGGTTGCCAGGTTCAGAGGGGCCGCCTCCTAAGCCACCTGGCTGGCCATCCTCTGTGTTGAGGCTGAGGTTGGTCATTTCCTACCACCCCTGTAGTTCTGATTTTCCCGCCAGTACTCGGGTGGCTGATTGCAGTGGCATCCCACTGGGCGATGGGGTCGCCGCGTCCCTACGCCTACATAGAAGACTTAACAGTGTATAACCCAAAGACATTAGTCCAAATTTGTAAACAAAACTTGTTTTTCACTCTTTGTGGTATGTTTTACATGTTGTTATTTGTACAGGATAAGGTGGGGTAGCTTAGTATAGTGTTTTACTATAGATTGGACAGCCAGGGTTCAATCCCTGGCAAGGGCAAAGGATTTTTCTTGTAGCTTCTGCAACTATACTGTCTCTGGGGCCTACCCACTCAGCCTCCTCTCCAGTAGGTTCTGGGGTTCTGTTTCCTGGGGAGTGTGGCCATGGTATGATGCCGACTACTCACCCTCATGTGGTGTTGAGGTAAAGAATGAGTAGGAGCTATACCTCCTCTTCCTCAGGTGCGTCCGTGGCGTGTAGTGGGACAGCTTTATTTAATTGTGCAGCAAGATTTATTTATTAATATCGTCTGCCTCATTTTCATCTACCCTTTGTTTTCGTTGTAGGGTCGAGATGGCTCCACGAAAAGGTTGTGCCAAAGTACAGATGAAGGGAATTTTTGTAGGTGCAAAAGTTGTGCGAGGCCCAGACTGGGATTGGAGCAATCAAGATGGAGGAGAAGGTAACGAGAGACACTCTGGTTCTTGTTGTGACCGTAAAGTTTTAACTTGGTATGGGGAAAGCAAAGAAGAGAGAAAAATAATGAAGGCTTGTTTTTCAGATTATAATATTTAGTGCTGAGTTGATGATATCTTTGCTACTTTATTTCTTGTGTATTTTGACAATGTTATCAGTAACTCAGGCTTTATATCATAGAATGATGGAATGAATAATGAAATTGAATGGATGTGGGATGTATTTGTGCCTAATTTAACCTTTATTATATGGGAATAAGGGATGTAAGCCTGCGTACTATGGAACTGTCAGCCGAACTTTAACTCTGGGGTTAACGGTTTGGAAGTATGATTCTGCGGAGAAAGCCGGAGTCTGTGTAAGATACGACGCGTGGTTGGTAGTGGTTACAGTACTATCCCAGCACTTTCTTGGAGGTGCTGAGGAAAATCATGAAAAATCTCGGTGAGTATTGCTGGTCTCTGTTCCAAGATTTAAAATTAATACCTCACGAAT